AAATCTTTTTTGCTATCTGAGAAGTATCTGTCACGTTTTCGGTATGGTAAATTACTCATCATCCAAACAACATATCTGTTCATGATATTTTTTGGGAAAAAATAATCCCTTTTAGATATTACACGATTCCTAAGTATGTACATGCAGGTAACTAGTTAAAATAAAAACGTTGTCATCATTTGTGTAGGTCCAGTGCAGTGAGCGCCTTTTCCGAGTGCTGTTGAATTTCAGAAAGTATCTAAATCCTCGTTCAAAGAATGATTCTTGTAAACAAAGTAACATGGAATGCATCAACCGTAAACACTGAGAAGCAGTCACATCACTTAACAGGATATTATGATGATAGATCGCATAGTAATAGAAACTTAACAGCAGATCTTTAACTGATCCCTATTCAGTAGGTTAAGCTTATTTAATTGCGAACTTGCTGGTGTAAAATAATGATTTTTTTGCGTCTGCTGGACAAGATAAATAAACTTTCTAAAGATTTGATCATTTCGGCTTTAACATTCTACTCAACGAAAATAGTATAAAATATCCCATGGCAACATATTTATGTAGGTGTGGTAGGAATGCTACTTACCTGTGATATGACGCTTCAGATAACAGCTAGATAAACTTCAAAGCATCTTTCTTTGCTGATTATTATTATTAGCCCTTGGGTTCCTAATGGAACATAGGGCTTCAGTAGCACGTCTCCATTCCACTCTGTTCTCTGAAATCTTTTGAACCTGCCTCCACGACAGCCTACAAGCTCTAATTTCCTCCTCACACGATCTGCTCCATGTCACCCTCGGCACCGACGCCCAAATCATCGCTTCTCATGGGGGTTCCACTCGAGGGCCTGACGCGTGATGTCCCCAGTCGGCCTACTCAGTGTATGCCCAATCCATCTCCACTTCCCTCTGCATATTTAATGGGTGACAGGTTCTTGGTTGGTTCAATGACAGCCAGAGTTTCTTGTTGCTTATTCTTTTTGGCAATCCATCTGATCTTCAGTAGCGAGCCAGCGTAAGCAGTTGTTGATGAATGTCTGTATTTTCTTGGAAATCCCTTTCGTAACGTGCCAAGTCTCTGAACCATACAGAAGCACTGACTTGAGGTTGGTGTTTAAAATCCTCATCTTGTTCACCATTTATGCTGAGCTCAGATCTCCACACTAGTTTCAGGCTAATGAACGCCTCTCTTGCTTTCCCGATTCTGACTTTGACATCCTCGTTAGTGCTGCCTGTAGTTGAAACAGTGCTGCCTAGATAGGTGAAGTAGGTTACTTCCTTTAAGTTTCTCCCATTGATGGTGATTGGAGTTTGTTGTTGTTGTTGTTGGAGTTGTTGGTGCGGTATCTTCATCACCTCTGTCTTCTCTACATTCACTTGAAGGAAGTCCCGTCTTCACTGCCTCTTCTGTCAACTTGTTAGTTTTCGCCTGTAGATCATCAAGTTTGTGTGACATCAGACACAAGTCATCATTGGCGAAATCCAAGTCTTCTAGGTTCCTTTCCTCAGTCCAGCGTATCACCCTCTTCTCGCTCCCCACTGTTTGCTGCATGATCCAGTCCACTACAATCAGAAAAATATCATGAAGGATAGTAGGCAACCTTGTTTCACTCCTGTCTTCACTTCAAAGTCATCACTGAGCTTCCCATTGTGAATTACTTGGCTGGCATGTGGCGTCTTCATATAGTTGTTGAATGAGGCGGATAAAGGTTTGCGGTACTCCGTAGTAATGAAGCAGTTTCCAAATTACCTCTCGGTCGACGCTGTCAAAGGCCTTCTCAAAGTCAATGAAGTTGAGGTAGAGAGCTGATTGCCATTCTATGCTCTGTTCTATGATGATGCGAAGCGTTGCAATTTGGTCTGCACATGATTTGTACTTCCTGAATCCTGCCTGTTCCGGTGGTAGCCTCTCCAGGATGATGCGGCTTAATATTTTGCTTGAAATGGACAGGTGAGTGATTCCGCACCAGTTCTTGCAAACACTGAGGTCTCCCTTCTTCGGGAGTTTGACAAGGTTACCCTTCTTCCAACCGCCAGGTACCTTCCCTTCCTTCCACACCTTCTGCAATAGTGGTGTGAGCATGTCCGCTGTTGTCTCTGCGTCTGTTCTCAGTGCTTCTGGCGGGATCCCATCTGGTCCTGCTGCTCTCCCACATTTCAGTAGCTTTATGGCATTCAGGACTTCCATTTTTGTTGGAGGATTTATGTTCACTTGTAGTTCAGCGACTGGGCAGCAGGTGGTATTTCTTGACGAAGTGCAGGTGGTGGTCGATTCAAGAGTTTCTTGAAGTGGTCGACCCATTGTTTCCTTTGTTTCTCTTCTTTTGTAATTAAATTTCCTTCTTCATCTTTTATTGGTTTCATCTGTGTTGATCTCTTCCCAGATAGCAATTTGGTTATTTGGAACAATGTCGTCAGGTCTCTCTTACCTGCAGCCTGTTCTGCTTCACTTGCCAGTGCTTCGTAGAAGTGTCTTTTGTCTTTGCGTGCACTCTTCTTCACTTCTTTGTCCAATGTAGTGTTTATACACTGTACTCAGTTCCTCTTGTCGTTGAGCATCCTTGCACTGGTTTATCTTCTGCTTCACCATCCCCATCTCCCTGCTCTATCAGCTTCCATTTGTCCATCGAGATCCATTCCTTATCTTCTTTCTTCTTCCTTCCTAATACGGCTGTGCAGGTTTCTTTCCACATAGCTTTCAAAGACTTCCAGTGTTCTTCCACACAGGTTTCTTCAGGGATGTTGCTCGATATCTCCCATTTTGTCTTGATGGCTGCCGTGAAGATTTCCTTTGTAGTTTCGCCCAGCAGTTTCTGGGTGTTGCACTTGAACTGTGGTCTATCACCAACTTCATTGAAGCCTTTCAATTTGATTTTGAAGGTAGGTTCCTTTCACTTGATAGTGAGTGGTGTGAATCTACATCTGCTCCTCTTCTTGACCTTGTGTTCAGTAGACTGCGTCTCCACTTTCTTCACATTGAAATGAAGTCAATCTGATTTTTAGTGTGTCCATCTGGTGAAATCAACTGCATGTTGCTTTGTGGATATCCTTGTGCTTGAACACACTGCCTGACTCCAATCACCAGGCCGTTGAATGCACAGAATTCAGCAAACAATTCTCCATTCTCGTTCATCACCTCACCGAGCGCTTCTCGACCCATGATGAGTTCTCTTCCTGTGTTGTCCTCTCCCAGTTTGGCATTCATGTCGCCCCACCCATTAGAATTTTGATATCGCCAACTGCGGTCTTGTCCAGTGTTGATTGAAGTTGCCTGTAGAATTCCTCCTTCTTCTCTTGCTCTGCATTATTAGTAGGTGCGTAGTGTGGCGTAGCATTGTATGGTTGTGGCCTTCCTTCCTTTTGAGTTGAACCTTGCTGTCATGATCCTCCAGGAGGAGATTGGTTCCCACTGCATGAGAGATAGCCTTCGATGCTGTTGGGGACATCATGATAGCCACTCCACAATTCAGTGTGATTGTGGTTGTCGTCTGGGTGACCAGAGTAGATTATTGATTCTCCAGTTGACAGTTTAGAGAGTTCACTCCCATTCCATCTGCTTTCACAAATTCCAAGCACTTCAATGTGATACCTCTTCATCTCGTTTGCAATCTGGGCTGCCTTGCTGGGTTCAGACATAGTGAGGACATTCCATGCCCCACGTTTACTTTCGCTTTCATCGCGGGAGAGAAGACACATCGGCCAATTGGCTTCCCGAAGGCTTTCACCAGGTGGAGTTATTTCGCCTCACGGATTCGAGCGAGGAATAATTTTGTTATTATTTTTTATATATCGTTTGTGCTTTGAAGTTTCTTAAGCGGTTAGATTTGTTTACGGGGTAGGGTGGCCAGCCCAATGCCCAACCTTCCCTCTTTACCCGTGCTTAGGACTGGCTAGGAACTAGTGAACTCGTTAACTAGGCGAGGTTTCCTTTGCTGATATTATTCCAAACTTTGACTAAACGACTAATGAACATCTAGTTTTCGTAGTGTCAGATTCTTTCAGTACTCTAAAAGGAAAAATTTCGATATGATCAATTCCAAGATGTTGCTGAAATATGCTAGAATTATGTAATGATGACTTGCAGAAGTATTAACTTGGCGTACTTTGAGGAATATTTTCATAGTTTTTGGGATATGTTAACCGTAGTAGTTAGAGAATTTGCGCATGCTTAGTGGTCTTCTGCGAAGCTTATGGGAAAACTGGAAAAGATAGGTTACCTCATTGAATCAAATCGTTTGGTTTCAGTTTTGCACACGAATACATTACTGTTAGAGTGTTTCTTTCATGATTGATCTTCTATAGTAGTTGACCACTGAAGAGTCAGCAATATCATATTGTATACTCCTAAACGCTGAACAAATTATATCGGTCAGACCTGTAATGCGCTTTTAACATATCCACAAATGGTTAGTGAACGCAGCTCATGCTTGTGTAAGTTAAACATTCAGAAGTAACAAGTGTCAGGAAACAATCCTGACTTAAAATGTAGAAATTATGTTTTACGTCCTAGTTTTGTGTAACTGGCTGTTGCCATCTTTCTTCCGTATCTAGTTCAGTAGAACTTCAGAATATCAAAGTCTAGTTGCCCAACCTCAATTTGGTATAATTTTCTTTTAAACCAAACTGTTTTTCAATCCCTGATGCTTAAAGTTACATAGCTACATATTGAAAGAGTATAGTCAAAAATATCTGCTATCAGTATGGTTAAAACAAGCCTTTAGATCACAGTAAATATAATACGTAGCCGTCTCTTTCTCGATGAATGATTATAAAAACTTAGTATGCTGGTTAGTTGTAGAAAATTGGCAGGAAGCATGGATATATATTTCGTGCTTGCTGGCACTCATCAGCTAAGCGTACCTGCAAACTCGAGGAAACTGATGTGTGTATAATTATTTGCATTTATGTATATATAATCAACCTAAAGCCAGTCACACATCTACTGATGATGTGATAAAAAAAACTTCACATTTCACCTTTTGTGTTCTTTCCCTTTAATTCCAGAATCTTCATCAGAAAATCAACTACACAAGTCGAGTGAATATATATTTCAAAAGTTATATGGACCATTAAGTAAATATCTACGTCTTACTAAACAACAGAATCAACATAACAGAAGTATGATTTTAAATCGACTTAAAACGTATTTACAATACAAGATGTCTGTTGAATCTTTTCTCAGTGTTTATTTCAATCCACCAAATGAACTCTTTTATGTACAGTGTTGTAATCCATATTCTGTTAATACTAAAAGTTGGAATCATGATCATGAACATATGAGTTGGGCGAAAAAGATTCAGTTATTTAAGTGTTGTACAAATTCATCGAAAAATACTAATGGTAATTCAGAAAAACGACAGAATAAAAATTCCAACAACAAGCCTATGTTTAATTCAAGTACACAAGTATTTCAAACATGGAAATTAAGATTGTGTGATCCATTAATAAATTCATCAATTTATGACGGTTTCCGTTTTGAGTTGATTCGTTCAAATGTTAAATATTTTTGCATTGTAAAACAATGTACAATGTTTCAATTGATCAAAGCTAATTTACCATTATGGTGGTCTGGAATTAAATATGAATATAATACTGTTATGTTGCCGCCGTCTACCGTTGAAACATGCATTGGAAGTTCAGAGAATACAATTGAAATTAAACTTTAAATATTGTACATTTTTAATCAGTGCACTCAACTATTGTGGTGAAACGTTTTGCATTTTCATTTATAAGGATTACTTGAATTTTCCATTTGATTTTATTTAAAGCAAAATTCTATTGGTAGCTAACATGAATAAAATCTTGTACTTCTGAATGATCTAAGCAATTTGATTAATAGGGAGTAAAATATATGCAATATATGCTGTCATGACTCAGTGGCCTATTGGATAACGCTTTGGTGTCTGAAGCGACCAGTTCTGGGTCGCGGCGAAACGGGCGTTTCGCACTGCACTGTTAGCTGCTGTCTATCATTAGTTGTCAGAAGTCGTCCCAAGTCTTCTCTACAGTAGGTAATCAGCAAAGGATAGAAACCTTTAACAGATAAGCCAAATAATTAAGCGCCTATATTCTTGTCTCAAATTAGTTCTTTGTTCATAAGAGAGAACGTATAGCTTCCAGAAGAACAAGTGAAGCCTAACTGGATATTGATTTGTCATCTGTTAAATGTTTTGCTTAGACACGAAAGCCTAGAGTTAACATGAACTAGGATTATGCAGAATTGATAAACAGTGTAACCAGCTGTTGTATTACTTGAAAATACTACTCTATCAGTTTGAACTGATGGGAAAGACTTGTAGCTTAGGATTTGGATGGTGGCAATTTAGTGCTCTCTGAGCTTTGATACTAAGTCTCAGAGAATACCTAACCATCATCACAACTGTCCTACCACTGAACTGCATTTTCTTGCTAATAATAGTACACAATGAAGCCTCATTTTTTACAAGGAAAGAGATGATTGATCAGATGAAACTTATACTTACCAATAGATAGTGTCACGCAAAAAATAAAGCCTATACTTAAAGCACACAGATAATATTCATAACGAGTGAATGTTCCAACATAGGCAGAGCTAACAAAACATTTTTTTGGACAATCCATACCGTAACGTTAAGTATTCAGATCTGAATAAAATGCTATGATGGTAATCACCATCATTTTGACAACATTTAATGCAACTCTACACATCTACATCTAGGAAACTATCATGTGATGCGCTGAAGACGAGAACCCTCCAATTCTTTCTTGTCAGTGAACAAGTAGTAGAGAAATACTTCTGACGGATGTTAAGCTTTTCATATTTCGAGATATTACGAAAATGTAGTGAAAGTAGGGATAAGTTTTCTTTGATATATTCCTTTAGAAAATATAGTAATAATCATCTTCGAACAAATGACTAAATGGTAACTTGCTAACCGTTAAACCTGCAGGCCCTGATTTTGATCCCAGGTGGAGGCGTAGGTCGGCACTGCTGAGGAGTCCTATATTCAAAAGAAAAGGTTGTCCATTGATCCCAGGTTTTCAGTTATTCTCCAATTGATATCAGCCCTGGATAAATGCCAACCTGAAATCATCTTTGACTACAGAAGGAGTAATAAGTGGCTTATCTGAAATTGATTTTGAAGGAATTTTCTTAGGCACTACGTTGTCTTAGAAAAAATGAGAGTTCTATTAGTGTGCAAAACCTATCTCAGCATAGGCTTTGTATTGTAAACCCTTCTAAAACCGAGATAATATTTCAATAAGGACATGTCGCAATCGTATTGAGTTACGCTGAAGTTAGCTGTATTGAAATCAATAGTTACTTCTGAATGTCTAAAATATCCGAATAGTAAGTCTTTCTTGACCTCAATATTACTATCAGCTGCTGACTGCTAAGTAAATGAAAGTTTCACAAGAAACCTGTTGGGTAATTTGCATTTTGAAATTAAAGTTAGGGTATGAAATGAGATACTCACGCTCAGAAACACTAGTGGTAACCAACAATTTTGTTTGGCGATCTCTTATGAGAACAAAATGGCTCTTATCACGTTACAAATCTTGGACAAACAGATTTCTTTGAGTGTAACACATTCAGACGTGTTCAACTTCGAGAGAAAACAAATTGATTAATCTTTTGTATATATTATTCAGAATATTTCGTCTCAACAGTTTCACGTCACAAGCTTCAAAGTTGACTCCTTTAATTTTCTTTCAGCATGAACATACCATATTTTGACAGTTAACTGTATTCCATTCTAGTCTGTTTATTAGAAATACCACACAGTGAAACAGTAGAACTTACTGGATAACGTTTCGGACACAATTTATTGTCCATATTCATATCAGGTAACTCCACAACTTCGAGACAGTCTTTATATATTCCTAGTTTTCTCTCCTTCTTTGTGATAACAAGGGTAGTAGAATTTTCCATATATCTGGGACGGGTGCAGCATCATTTCGATTGCATGTGTTTGGTGTTGATTAGATAAACAAAGATTCGGTTATCAATCTCTCCCTCCACCCAACTAAGTTAGTTTTCAAAACTGTCACCCTATCCCACCCTACTGTGTGATTGTGTGTCATCGCATGCAGAGCTACAGCCGAGTTTTTCTCTAGTTTTCTTATCTTATTAGGATCCACTGATCTTGATTTAGCTAAGTTTTTGTACTCTGTTATTCTAATCGACCCTGGTTGATTGCTTTGACCTATGTGCTTGACCTCGCAATCATTGCAAGGGATCGAATCAACACTAAACACATGCAATCGAAATGATATATGGAAAAGTCTACTACCCTTGTCATCACAGAGAAGAAGAGAAAACTAGGAATATATAAAGACTGTCTCGAAGTTGTGGAGTTACCTGATATGAATATGGACAATAAATTGTGTCCGAAACGTTATCCAGTAAATGCTACTGTCCCACTGTGTGATATTTCTAATAAACAGACTAAAATGGAATTACACTCGACCACAGTGCCCATGTTTTACACTTATATTAGTTTAACTGTATACTTTAGTGATCAGAGACGCGCTTTTACATCTGAGACTATCTGGTTCTTGAAGGCTACAGACAGAGATGCCTTGTTAATCGCTAACTACAGGATTAGAAATCAAGAATACGACATTCAATTGACCTCATTCAAAATCTTAATGTTCAAACATTGAAATTTAATATCAAAAATTTTAAACTTCAATCCAAATTGTTAATTTCTTCACTGCTTTTCTATCAAGATTTCAATGAAATCATGTTAGGTATTATCAGAAGGTTGGTTTGCGCAGAAACCTACTTCTTTTTCCGATCCAACAAATACACAGCAGAGAATGAAGTATCGAAAAATGTTAAATAAACTTTTTAAAGAAAGAGTAGAATTAGATTTCAATAAGTATTGTGTAGCAATACCATGATAAAAAATATCACCGATATTATTGGTTACACCAAAATCAATTTAAAATTCAGCTTATATCTTTACGCAATAAAAAATAGAACTGATATATCAGAAAGATAAACACGATCAAGTTGGAACTTTGTGCAGAAGTGCACCGGTGAATCTGCCACACTTCACAGTACTTTACAAAGAATAATTGGATAGAAAGAGTCATATCAAAGTAGACAATATTGTGTGATAGAATAAAGCATTTGAAGATGAATGTTAGTGAAAATATCCAAACTTAAGAAGACATCAGAGAGTGAATTCAACTGCGCCAATTTTCTGCCATTCCTCTGAACGTCCCCAATCACTGATTCCCAACATCTCCAGACCAACAGTCACAGACTTCATGGACTTGTTACGAGTTCTGTTCTGGCCTTCCTGAACGCCTGTGCAACGTGATCCATTTTCTTCTAGAACTGCATGTCAATATAGGTGGCAGTTTCGTAAGCACAACAGGCGTCGCATCCACTTCAGTCACTAGGCGTTTACTACATCACTGACTGATTTGCGTGTTTTGTCTAGTACCCTTCGCCTAACGTCGAAATTGCTCATACGATGATTCTACAATACGCAAGCAATGCAGCGAATAAATAAGTCAAAAAAAGGTGAGAGGATAATGGTATGGAGGTAACAAAAAACCCGATCAACTCAACAATACTTCACTGAATGCAAAGAACACAAAAGAGAGCCGGGGAATGAAGATTTTGATGTAACAGATTACTGTAGAATAACGATGATGAAGGTTTTACGAATATACTGATCAATTATTCTATTCCTTGTCCAGTATTTAAATAAATTGTAACAAATCCATTTATAATCATCAATAATAAATAAATAAATGCATCAAAGAGTGAAAATAACTTTTCCGAGGGATATGTAGTGTTAATCAACAAAATAATCTTTCATTAAAACCGATCAAAATGGAAGCTTAAACATAAAATATTATCTACACTGAATTTCATTTTCTCATAATATATCCTGAATTAATCCCAAATCGGTTTCTGTTTATGGATTAGACAAAAGGAACAATATAAACCAAAGCATAAAAAAGTATGAATGTAAAAATTGTTCTCTGTCTGAAATGTCTAATCTAACAACATTAATACAACCACTGTTTATATTTCGCATTAGTTGGTACCATTTTTTTTGATTGTTGAATGACGATAGGCTAAATCCCTCGCTGCATTTTCCTGTCACAGTTTTAGTTAAAAATACTCTTTTAACTAACCATTATATAACGCAGAAAATAGAAGAAGTGTCTAACTTCAGTTGATACTGCTTAATCTTGAGGATTTTACTAGTTCAGGTAAATTGTGGGAATATCCATTGTCTGTGACTAGTGCCTGAAGGGAATAAACGTCTGTTAATTCACCCAATCTCATTAATTGCAAATCCTGAAATATAGCCACAGATCTAATCATGCTTACATGTCATGCTTTAGTTGGCAATTTACTTTGTTTTGACTGCAATCTGAAATACTTATTTCATCTTTTTGTTTGATGCAATATCTCAGATCACTTTAAAATGTTGTTAATAAGGATGGCGTTAAGAAGCAGCGTATTTTAACGCGTCTGAATGAAAAAAATATAGTTACTTAGGGAGTGATTTAACCTAATAAAGGATGCATCATAAAAATATGCATGACATTTATAAAGGTTATTATGCTTAGAAAGTCTACACTTCATTTGTATTTACGTAAGCAATGAAACTATAAATCAGGATAAAACAGTAAGAATACTAATTTTTCCGACGGAATAAGAAATCAGTTATTGAGATATTTAATGAAAATATCATTTACATCGGGAGAAAAATAAATTTCTAAGAACAAAGATTATTTTCTTCGATAAGCATTTCAACTTATCTTTCAACTAGAAAATCAAAACGGGATTTTTATCCCTACTTATGACCCAAATTCAGGATAATTAATCTATACAAATGAAGCAACTACGTCATTTGCTTGAGATGAACAAATATTACAACCTTAACATTTATGAAAAAAGATGAATTCAACATATATCGATAACGGAAAATCATGGAAGAGCAATAGGCAAGATATTCCAATAAATCAACCTACAAACTAAATAGTCACAGAAAAACAAAGTTTTTGTAGTGTCATTTTATCAATCCAAATTTTTTGCAACTAAAAAGAACTAAAAAGAGTTTGAAACTTTCTAACAGACCTAAGATTTTAGACAAATATCTATTTGCAGTCACTAACTCAAAACTGGTCACACACTTGACCGTCTTATGAATCACAAGCACAATACCATATGATTAGAACAAAATCTGTTGTGCTGAAAACAAATTGGTAATTGAGGATAAAGATGTTCCTGGTTTAGTGTTTTCTGAGCTTTGATATTTTGTTGTCACAATGAAATGTTAAAAATCAGAGAACAGCAAACTCTAATTAGAGTCTGTTCTTCCCAAATCCTGAATATTTCATCCTTCATCAACTCTTGATGCTCTGAGAGATTTCGAAGGTAATGTGCTATGAACTATTAGAGTATGTAATTGAGAAATAAAAAAAGGTCTTCACTAGCATCACTGAAGTAAGGTTTATCATTGAAACAACTTAGATGAAACTGAGAAAACATCAACGTGTAGGCTCAACGATAATATCTTCTTCAGATTTTTAAACAGAAAGACTACTAAAGTTATCTTAAACTGGAAAAAAGTAGGTACTTTATGGTTTATGATTTCTAAAGGACTTTAAGCTGGCAGCTAAGCAAGTAATTGTGATATGCAGTTGCTTGGATATTGATATTACCTGCATGAAAAAACTCTTGAAACTAACAAATCTGTCTTTGCTAAAGGTCTGTATAGAATATCCCTCTAAAGCACAGTTATTAATATGATGATTCTGAATAGAAACTGCACTGAAAGTGTCTTAGGCTTTTTTTCTAGCTTATCAGATATTTTAAGAACAGATTAACATGTCTTTATTTACTTTACTTGAATAAAGAAAATTAGAAAATAATTCCATATCATATGAACACACTCCAGGATTCTTATGACTAGCTGCGTTTATCAAATACCATTTAAATCCACCTATTTCATGTGATACAGAACAATCATTGTTAATCTGGGTAAATTCATTTTTCATGACTAGGCATATAAAACGGAACTGTTTTACCATCTTCGTATTTAGTATGAAAGATGATTTATGACGGTAATTTGTTCTCAAAATATTTACTTTCTATAGTCTTCCTACTTCCCAACCGTGCTATACACTTACGCTTAAACACTCTTTCATCAGATAGATAAACGAAGTCAACGTCGAACCTCGCACACAGCCGCATCGGCTCAAATTGCCACACTTGACAGTAGTATACAAAGATGAAGTGGGTAAAAAAGAGTCATATCAAGGTAGACAATGCTGACTAAGAAAATTAACAGTTTGAAAATGAAGGTTAGTGAAAAGATATTCAAGCTTTAGAAGACGTCAGAAAGTAAATTCATCTGTGGCATTGTGACCGATCTAAAACCACATCACCAGGAGCCCTAAACTACTGATCCTTATTGTCTTAGGAACTCCACTCATGTAGTTCACATCTCTCTCATCCATCTTAGACCGACAGTCAAAGACTTTATCTGCAGGTGCCAGGTCTTGGTCTGACTACGCTGAACCCTACTCAAATCTAACCAAACTTTCGCTAACATGGCACGTTGAGTTTGGCGGTGGCTTTGCATGCCCAGAACATGTTCAAGTAAAGGTTCACAACTTCATCGACCGACTTGCCTGTCTTGCCTAATACTCTTCGCCTAAACTCGTGCAGTGATTCTACCAAACGCGAATAATGCTACGAGCATACCAATGTCAAAAACCTTGCAACCGTTCCATGTCATCTACTTTCAGAGGTCTTGTCTCACAGCTATATAAGAGGACAGAATGAACTACAGCACAGTATACTCGTCCTTTACTAGATAGTTGGATATCTTGCCAGTTGCGCCACAGATCCTGGAAGTTTGCAAATGCCGGAGGGCCTTCTATATCCAGGCTAAGTCTTCGTCAGCAACAGCTCTGTTCAAACTGTTGCAACTCCTCAGGTGAGTGAAGAGGTCGAGACACTCCACCACTTCACTTCCTATCATTAAACTGAGAGGGCTTGCAGCAGACCACTCCTGGAACATCACCTTACACTTGATCAAGTAGGAAACGCATTTTAAGACAATGCATTTTTTCAATATAAGAACTATGCAATTTCTTTTAAAATTTTACTGACTGAAATAAGAGAAGAACAAGCTTAAAATATCGGTTGGAGTCAAGTTTCCTTCACCATATGTAAATCAACTGTTTCCTATCTGTTATCCAGTTCAAGTGATTAGTCATATAGATTAACACACAATCAGATCAATATATGCTTACTTTAGACATTTCAAACTACAAAATGAATAAAACACTTCGAATAAGACATCTTTCCATAGAATTCTGTTTGCTGTATTAAAGTAACTGAAACCAATAAAATACTTCATAATGCCAAGTCCGAAATCAAAAAGTCCAAGTCCTAAAAAGAATGGTGATAAGAAGTTGGCAGATGATATTCCCGATGAAGAAGATGAAATTCTCGTACCGGTACCAGAGGGTGTTATGCACAGACGAATGCGTTTTCTATTAGAAACAAAACTGAAAACTGATGTAGAATTTATAGTGGGTCCTAAACATGCTCAGTCAAGTATAAAAGCGCACAAATGTATGCTAGCTGCTGAAAGTCCAGTCTTTGATAAATTATTTGTTGAATGTGATGAATGGAAAGTTAGTTTGATTAGAAGAAATGAAGAAGACTCAAGAAAAGCTACAGGACATGGAACTGAAATGGAATTAGCCCTACAAAGACCTGACTCACAGACTTCTAAGTTAAGTTCTGGCATAAAAAGTACCCCTGGAAAAAAAGATAGTCCGGAGAGAAAAAGTCCTGATAAAGAGTCACCGAAAAAAAGCTCCAAAAGTGATTCGAAACAAAGCTCAAAAGAAAAACGTCCCAAGAAAGTTAGTCCGAAAAAATCAGTCAAAGCATCACCAGTTACAACATGTGGTGGTGACCCGACAGCAACTAACATAAATTTCTACAAGGATGAAGTGATTGGAGAAGATATCATTCAAGTTAAAGATGTGAATCCACTAGGATTTTATAGGTTATTGAGGTAAGTAATTTTTACCTTCATGAAACCAACTGGTTAATGGTCAGTCTATGTGAAATAGTCTCAACCTTCAACAAACGAGGAATATACGGTGAATATAAAACAATTTGTTAGAAAACCGGGTTTAAAGCATGATTCGGATCAACAGTTTGTAGATTATTTCGCTAAATAAGGCAGGTGTGTATACAGAATTGAATAACCTGTTCAATAAATCAGTATTTCACAATATATTTTAACAGATTTATAAAACTTATAGAGGTAGCTAGTATCCATCTGTTATAGGCACACAAAAAACTACCGAAACCTTGAAAAATATTCATACTTACCAATGCTATAGGAAACATGTCTAAAGAAATTTCGATCCAATATACAAAACGTTTATTTTAAACTGATTTTAAGTTGAAAATTGCATTGTAAGTAAACTTTCCCTAAGATATTCAAATCGAAATTCGTAAAATCAACTGATGTTCGTGAATGTTTGTTTAAGAATTAGACGGAAATACATATGTTTTTAAGATAGTACTTATCAAGAATTGACATCAGTTGGAAAACCAGTAAAAACCCATGACAGCTGCAAAGCTACCTCGTTAGTACGCATCCTTGACCTCGCCGAGGGTCGACCTCAGTACCTTCAGGTTTCATGGCAAAAGTAGTGGGGTAAGGACTCAACGGTCCAAAGTTTACACATCATATAAGATCTTCAGCCAGTATCGGCTTCACTTCCAGTTGGTTGACCCCATAGGTAACGGTTTCTCACTAGAACTTTGGGGTATCCATCTTGAAGTATGTCACTAAGCGTGAAGGTCTTGAGTTCGATCCTGGCAGTGTCTTGCTTGCGTACTGCCTAGGAGTCCCATACCAGGAAGAAACAGTCGTCAAGTGTTCTCGAGTCTTCACTAGTTCTCCAAGCGAAATCTGTTCATGATGAATTCCACGTTAAAAATACAGTCACCATTAACCTCAACATATATTTTCCCCTGCCTAACGATCTGGAGTAATATGATGGACAAGTAGATAGACGAATAGCATCTAAACTTGTTTACAGTTGGTAATAATTCAAGATACTGAACTTGCTTTCTGTACAGAAATATATAATGCAAATGGGAGAAGTGAAAGAGGGTTTAACTTGTAAGTGAGCATAAATGAAGGAATTGTAGCAAGAAATCCATATTTTAAGCTTTAGGACAGACGACACCACTGCGGAATCATGAAACAATTTTCGAGCAATATCAACCTAATATCCGCAAGAACAAATTCATGTAGGGGTGATTTTAATGAATGGCTCATACTAAAAGTTGACAACTAACCATATTAATACAATCTCTTACCTTAGCTAATCTCATCTTTTATGCTGCATTATCCTTTCCCAACAAGTATCAGGTTTTTCACTGGTTTAATTTGTCACAGTAGAATTTTGGTATTGTCTCTTGGCAAAGTTTGAGCTAAAAATCTGACTAGGTAAATACGAACATCTATTTGCCTAAAAAAGCAAAATAACGCAATTCTGATATTTTCATCATGCTGATCATCAATATTCCGGCCATATTATCCAATAAAAAACACAGTAAAACTGTACAGAAAGTAAACCTATGTATAATATGCTGATTATCAGATATTCATCGCAGTATGAATTCATGCATCAGGTTCCACGCTGATATATCTGTTCGTAAATTTTGTTCATATCAACAATAAACCAGTTCATTTTTGGCATTTTTGACGACTCATCGCGAAATATTAAATTTGAATGAGTTTACTGGGTACACAGTAGCCTACATAAAGGGATGTTAACAAGAAATCTTGTTCATAAACATGCTTAGATTATAAAAGAAATATATTTGCAAAACCTCAATGAATTAAAAGCTAAATTTCAGAGAAGAAACAACTTCTATGGGGTAATGAAACTTCAAGAGTTTATTTTTGTACCTGAAAAGGTGTTCTACAAATATATGGTTTTAATGATCCATTTCACTAACCCTCAACTTATTCCACTCTATCAGGTCAAATTTTCAACCTGAAGTCAATAAAATAAAACAGTTTATTTTATGCAACTTCTTACTTGAGCAGATATCATCTAATCATCATTTTGAGTGTCTGAGATAGCCATGATTTGACAGATTAGTATTGATACTGGGTGATGTTTGAAGGTGAAATGAAAATTTAGGCCACGGTTGGATTCAAACTAGTGACTATCGAGTTTCCGCCCTGATGCTCTACCAACCCGGTGGTCGCTGGTTTAAATCCGACTGAGGTTTAAATTTTCACTTCACCTTCGATCATCACCCAGAATCAATAATAGTCTACCAAACTACGGTTATCTTAGATAGTCAAATGAAAATGAGTATGATGCTCCCCATCTCCTATTCAGTCAGACTGGGACTGGTATGAGAAGTTCTGACTAGGCAGCCAGTGTGAATACGAACAAGTGGCAGTAATACAATACTAAATCACTTGATAGTCGGGCAAACCCGTAATTATTGAAGGGAAGTAAAAGCCTGGTCAGCAGTCGGACCTCATAGGTGAGTTGGTAGACCATCGGGCCAGAAACCTGGTGGTCAGTTGTTCGAATCCGCCCACGGTTTGAATTTTGATTTCACCTTCAACCATCAACCAGTATAACCTAACCATTTACCTAGTGGATAGACTAATAAAGATTATCTAAGCAAGGTTATCACAATAGTTTCAGAAACCCAGTTTATGCTTTATTAGTAACCTCAATTCCTTGCTGTCACGATTTCTGAGGATTATCACATTTTTAAATACTGATTATTCGGTTGTTTACCGAGATATTTGTAGGTGTTATTGAACTGTTTAAGCATAGAGATGCAAACAATCGTGATTACAAGAACTTAATGCGAATGTTTACTACAGTTTTGACAAACACTTCATGACATCTTTGATGACCTAGACACTAAGGCAGATAATAATCTTCCTTTAAATTTTGAGTATTTATTGTTCATTGATACTTTTAGTTTTTCGTCTCATACTGTATAGGACTGATCTGCTTCTGTTGGCAGATGAGCACCCATGTGGATATCTCGCTGACTGAATATTCATTATTTTATAATTTATTTGGTGGAGGCTAGCAGTGGAATTCTGGAGGAAAGTTTCATTCTATTGGGGACTCGACAGCTGGATTTACCTGCACTTCAAGGAGTCAAGGTGTTCCCAAAGAAACACAAACCAGGCACTTATTGCTTCAAATGCCAAAGTGTTATCACCAAGGTCACTGCGGCATAAACAGAAATCTTTTGTATATTTCTGTTGTATGCTAAGAAACATGTAGGTTCTACAAACTTGAAATCAACTGATGGAATCAACAGTATTAAGCATTGTTGGTTTTTCAGTTAAACATTAGTGGTTGCCTTTAACAAATAACTGAACAAGTGAGAGAAAATTTAGTTATTGAATGAGAATCGACTAAACACTCAATCTAACTTACTTTACAAGTGATGGTTAATAGACCACCCGAAGTTTACCAGAACAGATGATAAAATGATCAAAAATAAAGTGAAACAAACATTGGAGTGGAGAATCTTCAATAGAGAGTAGGAACTACTGACTGGTTAAGCTTAATATGTCAAGAATAAATTATGTATAAATGTATAAATTTAAATTCCCTTTAGTCTTATCGTAGTATATTATCAGAAACTTCACATTCAAGGGAGTAGTGTTTACTAAATTTATGGGATATCTAGTCAATCTGTCTTATTGACCTAATGGGATGTACAGATATGTTGAGTTTCTGCAATGGCCCTCTGTTTGGAAGAATAGAAACCCATTTTCGAGAATTTCGCCTTCACAAACGATATTTTAATACCTAAATATAAGGCCTGAGCCACGATACTACAGCTTTTTACAGGTTTTCCAGTTTAAAGAAACTGTTTAGCTACCGTTTAAAACTTCAGCAATGTTCGGTTATAAATACTGATACTTGATGTGATATCTCTCCAATTTATGCAGCATCGCATTCACTAAAGTTTATCTCACAGATTCAGTCTTGTTTTCCAAATGGGAAGTCAGGTCCTTTAATTTGGACAGGTATATGTATGAAGTTTTCATCATGATAAGGAATGCTATGATGTTATGAGCGTTTAGGATGCGTCTCATTTCTTCTGATGTGGTTGTCAGATAAGGGAGCACAGTACAGTACTTATTCAATCTCTTTGATTTGATTGTTTTGTCCTTTTCCGAAAAAAACTTCTTTCTTCTCTGTTTAGCAACTTTTCCGGGCAGTTGTTTTGTTCTAGGACTTCCAGAAAAAATTGCTTATCTGGTTTTTAATAGTTCAGCCTGTTTGGTACCCTCAGGGACTTCGTCAGTAGATTTTTTGCGACATCCATTGAAGTTTCAGATGGATGAGCTTACTCAAAGTTAAGGTATTCATTTGGATATGCATTTTTTTTCGATAAATATTAGTATCGAGTGTACCGTCATTGTTTCCTATGGCTCTGGAGTTCAGGAAAGCTAGAATTCTTCATTCTATTTTTGGCTTATTAGTGAATTTTACGGAATGGAAGTGACCGTTTAGGCATTCGAAAAGCTTTTCTTAACCTTGTCTTTTGGGATCAAATCTAGTTAGCAATTAATCGCCCATGTGTTCAAGAAGCAGATATGAATGTATCTGACTGGATGCAAATATGTGACAAACTCAATACAAGTGATAAACTCATATAGTTTGTGCATACATGCACTTTAGTTTTGGTTAGTGTGTAAATCATCTTATCTTGAATCTATCATCTAAGTTGGCTGTTCATTTAGGCCTTTCTTTGAGTGAGTCGAAATTCGGCATAAAGCCGAGTGTATCAGCTGCCTGTCCATCTCTGTAAACTGAAAATCCTTTTTGAATAATTTTGATGTTTTCAGTGTCAAGCTTTTCCACTATAATGGATGAATTGAACAGCAACTGTAGATTCACTAGTCTTGCAAGATTACTTGTAAGTAGCTTTTTGTAGCTTAAACACTCTTTAACATTATCTAGGATTCGGTGAGACGATTCCTCAAAG